CAAGTATCCAACCTCTAATGGTAATCTACATGAATTACTAATAAGAAATCTCCTAAACTCTTATAGAAGAAAGGGATTGTTATGCCTCTAATTGCTAACTCTTTTTCTTGTGTTTTCCAAGGATTTTGTATTGTGTTATTTACTAAAAAATAAGATGCATATCATTCTATTTATAGAAAAACTTGAAAATCATATAAATGATATAATATTAATTTTATTCCTTAACACATTATTTTAGGCTAATTTTAAAAATTTATTCATCAAGTCCCTACTTGATTTTTCTAGGTCTAGAATTGTAATTCCATATATAAATTACTTTAGTCTTTAATTTCTAAAATTTATTTACAATCAAGTCACACTTGATTAATCATTCAATTTTAATTTTTGAATAGTAGTTCTTATATATGTAACCCATTAGATTTCATAATGAGTTAGCTAAAAAATAAATCACAATGCCAGATAAAATAAGAATAAATAAATGAAACAAATTAATTCATTATTAATTCAACAATTGATTGTTTTATATTTGAAGATCAAATATCATATTTAACTTCCTGTCATGTTCCTTCAAATATTAAGAAAATTATACGCGGTTTGACTTGATCTTTTAGCAACTATCTCAACATAATTATTATCGCTTCATTAACAATATTATAATTTAAATATTATAGCATGTTATGTGTCTGCTCTATTAAATTATGTTTAATATTCAACCATATTATTCAATAGTTTCACTTAAATTTAATTAGTGTTTTGCCTATGTTTTATATATAAAATACCTTGATATTTTTTATTTTATGTTTTAAAGGTATTTTTGGATTAAAGATGCAAAAATCAGTAAATTAAAGGTAATTAGTAGATTTAACCTTCAGTTGATATTTTATACAGAGCGTGAGCTTTAGAGGTCTAAATGAAGTAATTCTAGTGGCATTAAAAAGCTAACATTCATACTTTTATGGGAATATAAGGCAAGAAAAATATAAACAAAGAAAGAGTATGGAAATCGCAGCCTTCAAAGTTAAATCTTCCAATCTGCTATTGTTGACCATCGACCATTATGACTTAAATATTTTGAGCTACAGAAGTCCATTTGATACAAACTCAATTTTTTTGGATTCTCGACTCAAATACCTATCAACTTACCAAATTTCAACCAAAAATGATCTCGTACAAGGGAGATATGAGTTTTCTAAGATGACAAATAAATTCTATCATCAAACAGGTTTTATGAATAAATAAGTTCAAATTACGTTTCGAAGCACCCAAACCGACATCAAGATTTTTATTTCAGCAATTTAGCTCCTCTAAGTCAAAGCTTGAAGATTTTATGCAATGCTATTTCTCCTTTTTTAGAAAAATAGTTATTGAAGTACTTAAATGCAAACTGTTTATTTAAGGAAGGACTATTTTGTAAAATAGAAACTAGGGTTTCTTAGGGTATAAAAGGAAAGAAAAAAGGAAAAAGGAAAAAGGAGAAGAGAGGGGGGTGACCAGAAGGGAGGAACACGAACTCTTTCTTCCACAAACTCGAATTCATGCATTCTTCTTCTTTTTGGGTTAGTTGTTCAATAGACATGCAAGGCTAAACTCTTTTTCTTATTTGCAAGGACACAAAAACCTTCAGATTTCAAGAATAATGAGATCTATTTTATCTTTTCTTTTTAGTTTATATGATGATTGAATATATTTGTTCTCCTATACTTATTTTCTATGAATGTTTATTTTAATTACTAAAGCGAACTCTAAGTTATTATTGTGAACAATCTATTGCTAAGTTTGCTATCAAAACCGGAGTTACGGTATATAAACTTGTGAAGCAACTAAGATTAATAATTATGGCAGATCTAGATTAATAATCTTATGGAGAACATTCGATTGATCAAATCAAACATAGACTGCGGATAGTTAAGTTGCCTAGATTAATGATTAGTACTTAAAAGTGCATTTTTATCATGGTTTTATATCATCATTTTGCACTTGAAGTATCAATAACTCCTTAACTAAAGCATGTTTTATAATAATATATCTAATAATATAAGATACCTTTAATTTATGGTAAATGTTCATTTTAAATGCAGGCCTATCACATAAATGAAAATATTGATTGATGACTTTAAGAAGTTAAATTGCAAAGGCAAAGAGATGGTCAAACTTAGAAAAGAGATGTCGGTGCAATCCAAACCGGAACACTGTTCGGTAATTGGGTCATATCTGGAGCTATAGATCTCAGATTTAGGTCTACTTTATATGGATGGAAAGGTAAGACATAGGCCTACAACTTTCATATGGAGCCCAAGATCTAAAAAGGCCATTTGCAAGTCCAAATTGTAGTAACAACAAAGAAGCCCGAATTTGTCTTTCAGCCCGAGCACTGTTCGGTATTTTGGCCATATCTGGAGTTTTAAAAGTCCAAATGAGCTGAATTGTTTACACAAGAAAGCTGAGACAATTGCCTACAACTTTCATGTTTGCAACTGGCTCCAGTTTTGACGTTATCAATGACGTTTTAGGCAGACAAGAGAAGATAAGGATTGTCACCAAGTCAAAAGTTGGCCACCCACTTATCAATTAGTCATCAAATCAATAGTTCCCAATTTTGGCCTATAAAAGGAGGCATTTGCCATGCATTTAGGCATCTTGGTTTCCAGATCAAGATCATACTCTTCCTTTCTCTCTTTGTATTTTTTGTAATGTTTATGCTTTGCTTTCATTAATATTAAGTTTATGCCTTTCATTTTCTTTCCTTTACTTAGTTAACTTTCATGTTCTTATTTTGTTTATCTATTTTCCTTTCTTTCATTATGTCTAGCTAAGTTAATTATGTCAAGGTGAAAAGGTTACACTAATGGTGTGAGAATAAGTATAATGTAAACTTAATATGGACTTTAATGTTTGGTACTAACATGTTTTATATTTGTTATCTTGTTCACTCTTTAATACTTTGCTTGTTAAATGACTAATCTTGATTTATGTTGTATAACACTTGGTACAACAAATGCTTGGCACTTTCATAGCCCATAATGTATGGTATAACCGACACCTGAGCTATGAAAGGAACTTGATTTGTTGTTAACATAAGTTATAATCATGAATGCTTGACGAGATTTACAAGCATTAGCATTAATTGAATAAGATGATTAATATAATCATGTTAACAATATATAATCTGATTGGAACCTCCTTTGTGTGTGGTTTCCAATTCAATAATAAGAGTTTATACTATACTTGTTTGATATACCATTAGTGGAACCTCTAACCTTGACATTTGTTATTATTATTGTTTAATCCTTACATTAATTTTCCATCTCCAAGTTCTTATACCATTAGTGGAACCTCTAACCTTGACATTTGTTATTATTATTGCTTAATCCTTACATTAATATTTCATCTCTAAGTTCTCATCATCATCATCTTCTTCTTCTTCTCTTTCTTTATTATTATTATTATTACTACTACTACTACTACTACTACTAGTTCTCATCATCATTATTATTATTATTATTATTATTATTATTATTATTATTATTACTACTACTACTACTACTACTACTATTATTATTATTATTATTACTATTGTTGTTGTTGTTATTGTTGTTTTATTATTGTTATTTATAATTTGTACAAATAACCTCCCTGTGGTTCGACCCCGATCTTGCCGGGTTATTTATTACTTCGACACTCCTGCACTTGGGAGAAGACATCAATCTTTTCGTCGTGTCAATTAATCAATTCATCTAGTTCTTAAGGCAACCATGAAATTAACTTACTAGTACGGACAGTGTGGTTGTTTAATGGTTGGATTAGTTATACAACGGATATGTCAACTAATCAATATAAAAAATAAAAAAATAAAAAGATAGATATTCAAAGTATAAATTAATGTCTAGTTTCTATGATCAGTTCTAATTTCTGTAGGTGGATGTTTTCTTACGACCAAAGTTTGTTTTATTGATAAATGTCGGTTTTATTTAAATTTCACTTGATAGTTCTCTGTTTGCTTTTGCTTTAGCCTAGATAACCTCTAAATCCCCCCAAATTGCATATCATATAGTATGAAAATCTGAACTAAATCTTCCTCATGGGATCAGCCCCTTGCTTGCTCATCTTATGTGTTGTATTTTTAGCTAGGGTAATTAATTTGTGCCCGCAATATCGCAATATTTGTTCCTAACACTATAGTCAGTAGTTCTCTGAATAAGATTTGAAACTCTTTTTAAGTCTCATTCCACCTTGAGCAGGGATTTACAATCAACTATTTAAGAATATATGAAATATTTTTTTAAATCATTTTGGATGAGAAATTGTCTTTTAATTACTCAAATATCTTCTTATAGTTCTTGTTATACCCAATATTTACTCGTTTGTTATCCTTGATTAGAACATGTATTACGATCAAAGCATATCATCTTCCATATAATATAACTTAGTGATATTAAATCTAAAGATCACTTACACAACCATCATGTGAGTATTTTCATAGACACAAGTGAGATTTTCATATGGAATCATCATACAAGTCAATTCAATGTACATATCATCTAACAAGTATCTATATATTAGTTCTAAGTATCTCTCACATCTCAACTTACGAGAAAAAATGCTTCCTTTTACAAAGAAAAAAACATACCATGCAATAATCTTGACAACTTTAATTAATGTTCTCTCTTAATAAAGTATTAACTATGAATATTTAGGAACACACTTTAATGCAATAGAAAACCCATAATAATGACTATATAATTTTTTATTGCAAAACATTTCTATCTCGTAAACTTTATTTTTACTCTAGATTCATTAATAAAATATTTGATAAGCATTAAAAATAAATAAAATCTTTATTAAAAATAAATATATTTATATGAACAAAATTAATATAACATTTAAGCAATTGATTGAATGCAGAATATATATATATATATATATATATTTTGGTTCAGTATGATTTGGAACATGGAAGATATGTAAACATTGCCTTGCCATATAAAAAATAAAAAAAAAAAAAAAAAAAAGAATACTTAGCATCTAACATTTTCATACCCAATAGCACAAGCAACTTGCTCGGAGAATAAAACAATAAAAAAAGAACACAACGAGAAGATAGGATGGAGAGTGGGATTTATACAGGTTATCAGTGCATTTATGGCTACGCTGATAACGTATTTGTACCAGCTTATGCCAGCAGATTCAGTTCTCTTTGAGGCGAAGTGCAGAAGCAATCTGGTCGATACAAAAGCTCAAATCATGAACAACCAGCATGCCAAGCAATATATGCATTAACCTTCAATAACTTTTACGGGAGACCTGCATACCAAACCAATGAGTAAGGCTAACCGCCAAAGAAATATCAAAATCGCTGTGCACTAGGTGGGCTGCCATCACTTACCCAAAGGGGCTTTGCTTGATGGCCAGCAGTTCAACATCCAACTGCAGATTCAACAAAGAAAGTGGCAAGTTAAATTCCATGTCTAGATATTTAATGCAAATAGACAGATCAGTAACAGAAATTGTGTTTATGTGGAAAGAAATAGAATAAGACTAAGAACTTGATGGCAAATCATAAGGAATAGATAGCCCTTTCATTTGATTTTCCACCTTGAGCAATTTCAGAAACGGGAAACATGCATGACATACTGAAGTTGGTGCACGCCATGCAATAACTGCAAGAAATATGACACTCAAGGAATTTTGTAACAGCATCCCATGGATCATACAGCTAATCAAACACCATATTCTTATAATTTGTTGAAACTACTCCCCTGTTCATCAATATGCCATGGTGGATTACAAGTTATGTTTCAGATACATGAAGACCGTAGGATTTCCCAGATGTCACTTGCATGAATATATCCTTACCCTATAACAAAAAAGACAACTTCTTACCTCTATGGTTGCATTTGGAGGAATTTCTTGTACTCCCTTACTACCATATGCTAGCTCAGGAGGAACTATTAGCAAACGCTGCCAAAAAAGAATTATTCATTCATCAGCACATGAAAAGAAACATTATTCAGTTGAGATTCAGCGAACTTAACTATATATAGAATGTTAGTTAAGCATGATAACCATGGTGCCCCGCATGCTATAGAGCAGAAATCAATAATAAGGTGATCCACATGCAGTTAAATTCAGCTTATTGGAAATGAGAGTGCAAAAAAACTGCATTAATTTCTTTCTTGGTTACACTACAATTGCTTTCTAACATATAGATTTTATATTTTAATTGATAGCATTTGAACTAAAGAGCTGGAAAGACCTACCCGACGCTGAACTATGGATATATATAAGCTATTGCATGCTTTATCATATAGTCTGTCAAGATAGAACAAAGCTACAATAAGGAAGAAACAGGAGTCACCTGGCCTCCTACACGCATGCCTTCAACCCCAAGATCTAATCCTTTAAGGACCGCTCCCCTCTCAGATTGGCCCACGTCAAATCCATAAGGCTGCAACAATTCAAGGAATATGTATTGCCCAAAAGGCAGAGAAATTTTAGGAAAGAAATTGCAGACTCGATGGTTGATACGTCAAATCATGCATGAATGATTAAAGTTATGTATGAATGATGTATAACTGAAGAAGTACACAACTCTAGTCTAAGTCAAATCATGCATGAATGATTAAAGTTATGTATGAATGATGTATAGCTGAAGAAGTGCATAACTCTAGTCTTACCGTTCCACCTCCAACACCGAGTCCCTGTCTACTAGTCATAAACGTGATTCCCTTCCACTTGGCAACATAGTGAACCTAAAATAAACGCAACTACATCAGCTATATTCTATATGTACTGCAAGGTAACAGATAGAGCACAAAAACATAATGGCTCTGGAATTTAGATTAATAGAGGAGTGAAATTATCAAACTTTTTCTGTCATCCATGCAAATTATTCTATGCTGGAGTATGCATTAAACATCTTGTCCCATCAGTTAGAAATCTGAAAAGTAAAAGTGGTAAAAATAATCATGTACTTTTGAAGCTACAGAAGAACATTCCTTCTTCTGAAATGAGGTTCATCATGAAATCAAAGTCTTCTTCTTCTTCTTAAATGGTTTTGAAAAATCAGCAAGGTAATTCTAGTTTTGTACAAGTTCGATAATCTTATAAAGGTATAGAAACTATAGAAGCTGGGAACATGGATGTGGATGAGGATGTAGGGAAGAAAAAAGTGATCTACAAGTACTGTGACAAGCACGTGAAATTAAGCCATAAGAGTTGGTGCTAATATTTGATGTATCAGTGTAATATAATAGGGAATAGTTTAGACATCAGGTAGTAAAAAAATTTAAATTTAACTGGGCCACAACCGTACTGCAACCCGAGATCCCTTCACAGCCTTAGGTCCACCCCCGACCTTCAAGTCATAGTACCTGAAGAATATCTCTATCAGAATTTGCATGATTTGCCTTCAAATATATAGACAAATATGCTTGGTATGAAATTGACAAATGAAATAGCATGTAAAAAGGCAGGTTGTGAGACTAAAAAACGGTTAATGACACAATCATTCAATACTCAATTCTCAAAATCTAACAATGTAGCTCTGTCCTTGGACAGAGAGAGAGAAAAAAAAATAAAAAAAATGAAGGTTTGCATAATGGTATCACATGATAGGCTCTAGCTTTCTGGTGAATTTACTAACAAGTGGCTATTCAATTATTTGAGAGAAGCAGATAAAGGTAATTTTCCAATGCCTATATTAGATAGCAAGGGCAAAAACCGGAGCAAAGAAAAGAATTCACATTAATTAAACTTTAATGTACTAACTTCAGACCATTGGAGAGGGTTGTGAAGTCACTCTCCGGTATTTTGGATGCTCTAAGCTGCACAGAACAAAAAGATTTGCAGAATTTGTGCAACTTTAGTACCCATTTGAAAGTAAAATATACATAACTTAAGAGACAAAAAATATCCCATATAGAAGTCAAAAACTTACAGCTCTTCTACTCGTGCTAGCAGCCTCGGCCACATCACAGACATAAATCCCAACAGCTAAATCACAGTTAAAAGAAGAAGAAGTAACGGAACGTCAAATCTCACCATTAATTAAAGAACCATCATTGAGAATATCATTGATGGAATAGAACTAACCAGTTGAAAGAAGAGAAGCAACGAGTGCCCTCCTTCCCTCCTGGTGCAAAGATAGTGAGGTTGGTTTTGTAGTCTCATCATCAGCGGAAGACGGTGAGGAGCGACATTTCAGCGCACCTGAATTTACGTTGGACAGCCTCCTCTCTGCCAATTCAAACAAATTTTGTAAACATTTGTAAGTGGTATTATTATTAGTAGTAGGAGTAGTCGTCGTCGTCGTCATAGCAAGTAAGAATCCAAACATACATATAAAAAAAAGTGATTTATAAAATGAGAGAGATAGATCACTTGTGATGGGAATGGAGAGGAGAGGCTCGCGGAGTAGAATGGCAGTGGGGTTTTGATGACAGGTAGGGAAGAGGGAGATCAGTTCCATTTAGGTCTGGTTATTGCTTATTAGTGAAGAATGCCAGGCAGAGGCAGGAACTGCAACTGGAATCCGAACTGTAACTGTAGCCGAGGAGGCAAGCTTAGCTGTCCTTGTTTTTGTTTGGTACATTGTATTTTTCAAAGTGGAAGAGGGAAAGA